GCAAACTTTATTTGAAGAAAAATAAATCATGACAATTTTCCAAAATCGTGTGAAACAGTCTAGTTCCTTAACATTTGTTTTATTATTTGAAAAGACAGAAGCGATTTGCATAGCTGGCATGTTAGTTCACCTCTGTTTGCTCAAAACAGCTCATAAAAACATTATTTTTCTACCATTTCTTATTTGATCAAAAGTGGAAATGCGTATGATGATCCTAAACTAGATCAAATTGGGTATCTGACTATGTCTCAAGGCAGCCAAGTATTTTAGTTCAAATAGCTTAAGGCCTGATATGGAAAAAGAAGAGATGCAATAGCCAGTAGGACAGCTAATGTACGGTACATTACACCTGCCTATATGATACTTCCTCTGAGCCAGTGTTTTTTAGATTTTCTTATCCCACCCAACCTAGCAATACTAAAAACCACAACAAAAAAATCAATTCCTAATATAACATCATAAGATCTGAGCAAGGCTGAGGAAGCTTTTGGGTAACCACTAAGGAATACAGAAATAAAATGTATGATTTGAAATTAAAGAGAAATCTTAACACTGCAGTTCTGGTGACTCAAATGTAGCACATCATAAGCAATTAATGCTCATACACATCTGAAAATAACAAGCTATCCATTAGGAAAAATAATCACTGGAGTGATCTAATACAGCACACTGTCAGACCTTATTGCATAGTGTAATAATATTTCCAAGTGGCAAACAAAAATATAATAAACGGAGTAAGGAACAACACTGAAGTCAAATATTTTGACATGGAGAAAAGGAGAATCTAATAGTAACTCAAAAGACCTGATCACATAACTGCTGTTATATTTTATGGATAAATTACTAGTGACAACATCTAATTTCAAAATCTTCTATGTATTTAGCGGACTAAACACATAAAGATGGTTCACTGCATAAAGGTTTATGGTAGAAGAAGAAAGGCTATAAAAGAAATATTATTGGCCATTAGAATTAAAATTGAATACTCTTTCTTAGTGTTTGACATAGAAAAATTATGCCATTAGGCACCAGTTGCTTTCCAAATATAATCTTTCCTGAAAACCTAACTGTATGTTTTAAAAAACAGAACATCTCACAATGTTGTTGGTTTGAGCACTTTGTGAAGATCTTGTATGTTTTTAATTGCACATACATTGCACACTGCAGTACATATAATGGCTATGTATATACATATGCTTTCTACAGGAATCTGCTTAAACCAAATGTTGTCAATATTCATACCAACTTGAACAACATATTTGGAGAAATATTGCTAGGATAATACTTTGAAAACGGAATAAAAACAATTTTTGAATCTTAGGTTCGATTTCCAACAGTGACTTTCAAGGCTAAAGAGAGGCACATAACGTTGGACCTTGGCTCTTCTGTTTCTCCTGCACCAGTCTGGCCACTTCCCCCTTTATCACGTGCCATTAATGTGCATGAGCCACAAGCTCCTGCTTGTGAAGTAAATGGGAGCATGGCGGTGCCACGCTGGGAACCAAACCAGGCATTGAGCTGGCCCAGCATGCAGACTCCGAGGTGCTGTAAACTCATTAGGCAGCACTCGTTCCCTGTTTTGTACAGCAGCATTCAGTACAGAAGGTTTCTAGATGACACACACACAGAAACCTGGAAAGAAAACCTCAGCTAAGATCATGGATGACAGCGAAGGTAGAATTTGGGGAGGAAGGTCCTTTAAAATGCATTATGGTTTTGTTTTAAACGCAATCCTAAATAAATTATTATTTCTTACTGATTTAATAGTGTATTAACGGCCTTGCATAGACTATGTCCATTTACGGCATGTGGCTGAAAAGGGCACGGGAAGTACCAGAGAATACTCAAATTTCAAACAAAGAGCAACCACACAAAAATGTTCAGGCAATGCGACATGAAGACTCCATCACAAAATACCTTTTCCTGACTGCTTTTAGCACCATGCCTTAAAGCTCTTTAAAGACCTTTTTCCTAAAGAGTTCCTAAAGATCTTTTGCTAAAAGATTTCCTAGTAACTGAGTGGGAGCATGGCCCCTCTAACATCAAAAACTGACTTTACAGAGCAATGGAAAAAAACCATATGCTGAGCATTTGTCTAAAGTTTCCTATATAAAGATGAGGAAAACAAAAAGCATTTGTCTAAAGGTTCCTATATAAAGATGCTACATAATACTCCCTTTCCTCTGTTCCACTCACTGCCAACACACAATACAAAATTTATCCTCTGCAACTCATTCAAAGCACTAGCTGCAACTGCAAAGTGACCAAAGGCATTGGTGTAGGAAAGTTCAAGGCCACCTCGTGTAAACATTTGTTTAAAGTCATACAATGTACACTGTTCCTTTAAAATAGCTTAGTACAGAGGCAGATTTGGAGGTCTGTAATGATATGCCTGCTGTATAGAAAAAAGTAAAATAAAAGAGGATGTTTGTTCACTGACTCCGACAATTTCCATGACACGGTGCATTATGACCAATGCTTCTTTGTAGGGTGTGCAAGGCAGCCAAGAGTCATTTAAAAACATGTGTTGTTCATCTCAAAAACAAATGTAAGGGAATACTAATAAAAGCTGCCCTGTCTGAAATTAGGCTGAGCAGTTTAAATCCATTTTTCTGGAGGATATTCAGGAAGCTGGGACTGCCTGCAAAATAAAACTAATTTATTCCTACTATCTACTGCAAAGGAGTAGTTTATCTCCCGTACATCTTGTCTAGAAAATAAACCTCTTTATCCTAACATTAATCAGGTATCAATGTCCCTCTTAGAAACTCTACATATAGTATAAAAACTGAAAGTATGTGACCTTTGGGTTCTTGAAATTATAGTAAATGGAGGCAAATGACATGTCAAGGCTGCTGTCCCCAAAGGCAAAAGAAGACCTGCTTTCATAGTTCACTCACAGCAAAACACATCCCAGTTCGGAGTGTGAATGTTTTCCAGATCTTACACTTGGCACAATTCAAACTGTGCTCCCCATACATGGGTAAAGGATTTGAGATGCAAGATATATTTCGGTTTGTATCTTGGTTTCTGCTAGCTCTGGACCCGTGTAACCAAGGGCATGACTTACAGAAGGTCAGATTCTGCATCCTATTGACTAAGCAGTGCTTTGGATTTCAATAAATACGATATTACTTCATGTGGGACAGCAGCACGGGCAACCGTGTTAAGGCACTAATGAACTACTCAAGGGGCTAGATCCAAAGTGCACCAAAGGCAAGTGAAAAGCATGAACTGACTACAAAGAACCAGGCCTCAGCTCTGCCACAGAGACAGAACAGAAACCCCAGTTTGTGAAAAACACTGTAAATTCTAAATACAGCTAAAGCAAAACAAACAACCCCACCTAAACTAGTTTTGCAGTTAAAAACCTATACCTCAGTATTAGAAGGCACCCAGTTCAGGAAGTTCAGGCCTCTTCCCATGCTACCATGCACTAATTTCCTTTTTGAACAAAAGTATAGATGAGCATCAAATACAAAAATATACATTTTAAGCAGTAGCAAAATTTGAATAAAAATTAGAAATTGCTCAAGGAAAGTGACTGCCATATTATTACATGTGCACATGTACACACTCCGTCTCAAAAAGGTATGAAAGAAAGGGAATCAATAGCCTTAACATTTCTAACTGTTAGTTGGCATGACAGCTATTAACTTCATTTTAGTAACTAGGAATGTTATCAGCTCGGCTTCCTTATCAAAAAGAAGTAAGCATTAGATATCACAGGCCGTGTTCAAGAAGGATAAATCGGCTGCCAGACAGGGAAGACGTTCATACGCTCACTCGGGAGGGAAGAGCTCCCACGTTCACACGTCTCCACATTAATAGAGACCTGAAATTCTCCCCACGTGCAAAGGCGGGTTTGGATGTAAAAGTGCCTGCTGCTCTTCACGTTCCTCTCCTCTGTCCCACTTTAGCAAAGCACTTAAGCACATAAGGATGTGCTTAAAGTTAAGCAAGCATGTCAATTGTTCTGCTGGACTGAACGCATGTACAGCCAACATCTCCTAAAAGCCTCTCCCGCCAACCAACAACAGGAGTTGCAGGCACAGATGGCATTCAGGGCCAACCAGCTGACAGGGCACAGAGAGCAGTAAACAGCTGTTTAGGGTTATGCCACCTAAATCGTTGACAAGACGACACTGCGAACACAAGACATAAATGATGCCCCAGAGTAACATTTCTAGAAGACTTCCGAAAACCGTAGAAGGATCAAAGCAATCTTCATCCTCCTGGCCATAAATATGCCAGTGGACACCAGCATGCTCATATGGAAAGAGAAATAGGTTTGTTTCTGAATAACCCTGGAAAAACGAAGTCTCAAACATAGACTCCATCTTTGATACATTTACAGTAAAAGCCTTTCAGAGTAAAATGCATGAGAACATCCTGAGGCCTTATTTTCAACCATGATTAGTTTATGAATTGGCAAAAAATCCACCCAGCTTCTCTGTAATGATAAAAAAAGACTGACAATTTTCTGGAGCGTTCAGCAGTTTGTGAATGCAGCACTTTTTGGCTCTTGGATCTGCTCTGAAGCCAGCTCCTTTTATTTTTCATATTATTCCCCATAAGAGCATACCCCGAAATTCAGTATTAATGTCAAGTGTCATGTCTGCAGAACTGAACAAAACAAGCTCTGATACCAAGCTCCCAGTGCTCTGCTTACCAACACCCCAACGAAGAAGCAGATAGTGTTTCAGAAAAGCATGGTAAACTAACATATGTCCCTAAAAAACAAGCACAATTGAAAGCTGGGGTGAAAAGGGGTGGGAACATGGAGCTAGGTTTGTATTTTCTCAGACTGCTTTCTTAAGCAGACACTTAAAGAAGTTTTCTGGCACAGCCAGAAATTTACCATATGGGCCAGCCCAGTTCTCCCTGAACACAGCAGGAGTTTGGTCACTGTAATACTAAAGACGGGCTGGTATCTGAACATAAAATTTTCTTTGGATAATTTATCAAAACCTTAGATGCGAAACATAATCTGTCTCCTTTTACAGCACCCAACTACACAGCAAGTCTACATGAAGGACAAATAGCACACAGAACAAGGAGACCAACGAAGAGTGCTGAAGCAAGGCTGGAGAACGATCTCGGTGGCAAAGACTGCAATCACTTTCACAGAAGTCACAAGGGGTTATACTTTGCATTACTTCTGAATTGTAGCTTCTCACCAAGTTAACATTAGTTAATGAACTTCTGAGAACTGATCAACAGATGAGTTTCACAAAGAAAGCATTTTTAAAGGATGCACTAAACTCTGATGCAGACCTTGTCATACATTGCAAAATTCTTCCCTCAGTGGGTGTTTAAGCCTAGGCCTGAATATTTGTTCTTTTCCCAAAACATCAAAACGTTCTCAATATATTCAGGCGAATGCTTGGTGAAAGGCACACTTTTATAGACTCAATCTCAACTCTTAGACCCAATCTGTTCAGAAACCTCAGTCAAATATTTTAAAAGGAATTTTGCCCCTACCTACACAGTAACCCCCATGACAACGGAATTGGGATGCTTTACCTGGCAGGTCACTGGCTACGACATTTAAGAGCTAGGTCTCTCATAACTGATGCTTTCTCTCTCACTATTATGTTTGGGAGCTTCAGCTTCCTGAATCCGGGACTGCCTACCTCACTTAGCTCTTGCTCCTGTATTTTGCTCCCCAGTTCCCTGAAGGGTTGCTACAGAGCTGAACAGACTAGAAGCCTGGAAAGCCATATTCATTTCAAAAGTATCAATGCATGGTAATTGTTCACAGAACAAGCTTTTGCAAAGTTTAATTCCCATAGTGGGTTTTGTGGTTTGAAGGTTTTCATTCCAACTAGGGACACTGCAATTTCTTTTTTTATTACTAGTATTTTTTTAACTGAAATTATATTCAGTTTCCTTTCAAGCCTCAAGATATTGAAAAAATAAAAATAAAAGATGTATCTTTACGGGGCGTAACGCTTACCCAACAGTGATACCCGACTAGCTCTGAACAAAGTCAGTTAAGAGAAGCAGCACAGTCATTTGAATGTGCTGAGTAGCTGTGTATATTAACCCTGGCAGATCTCCTTGCTGGTACTGCTATATTGGCATCCAACCCAGTTCTTGTACCTATACTAGTTGTAGTATCCGCCACACAGCCATAACTTTTTCGATAAATTCCAGAGCATGAGGAATCCTTAGACATCTCCTAGCTCTGAATATGACATGAATCCGACTGTCACCATTACATAAAATATACACCTGCAGTTTGGGTCACCAACTATAAGAGTGATGGAAAATAACAGATTAAAATAAAAGCACGTTCCTGTATTAGATAGGAAGGAGTTCTCTCAGAAGAACTCAGAATCATGGCATATGTATATATGTTGACCAATAATATGTCTATGCTACATAGTAATAGGAATGGCATCTTGTAAAATAGTATTTGAAGCAATCCTTTTCTTAAAGTTAAAGCCTTCTACTGCAGCACTGATTACATCGTACAAATTTTAGTCCTTAAGGATATTAATTCATATTTTTAAATTAATATTGATTTATTAATTGAGAATTTATAGACACTAAATGTATTTAAACAGAATAAAAGTATTTACACATGTGCATTTATATGTGACTTTTTTATACACGTATTGATTAGCCTGTCTAGCAGCATTCTTACAAAAGACTCAGTCTTGAGCTCTTCTCCTAGTCATTGAAGCATGTGGAAATTCATTTTGGCCATAGATTCTAAGCATTATGTGTTTGTCTCAAATAAAAATTACTCTAATTTGTTAAGCTACTAGGACTTAAAACATGCTTTAGGTTAATGGACCTAAACCTAATGGTTTAGTTACATCCGCTCATTTCCTATTTTAGTTTAAACTTCTGTGACTGAACAAACATTTCAGCCTACATAGAATAAATGTGATCTAGCTAAAGTAGTACACATCACAGCATATATGGTTGTCTTCTGTCTTGTGCTAAAACAAACCAACATGAAGAAAATTGCCTATACAACTTTTTTATGCCTTATCTCAAACCAAGCCCAAATCCTTAATAATTTTTCAGCTGGCTGGTGTAATGAAAACCTCTTTAGTATCTTCTCCAGCAGTTAGTAATCTTTCTTTGCTTTTCATTTTGCCCAAGAGCTTTGTACATTGCTGCCTTTCTCTAAAACACACGCTATTAAAAAAAACCCCAAACCAAAAAACTTTGAAACTGTTTTTCCTATGTACATCTTTTTTACATAACTATAGAAATCAAAACACTGGCATTTTCTCCAGTGAAGGACTTTTAGTTTAAACAAGAAACAGATGAAAAAGCTACTTGAAAGATAATCATTAACTTGGTAAGTGAACCACAGTGAAGTTCCTGCTTCATTTTGGTAGTTTTGGGAACACACTGGGCCAGATTTAAGCCAATTTATACCAGCTGACAATTAAGTTATGACAATTCACACCAGCTGAGGAACCAATCCATTAGCACAGTAAACATGTATATGGAAAAACACTACTATTTGTTAGACAATTTGGCATGTTAATGTCCAAAAAGGCTGCAGTTCAATGAAAAAAGAAAATTCCAGTGCAATGTGGGTTTCTCTTCACTAAAATTTGTCCTATGTCCACGAAAAGAAACTTTATTTTAAACTTCTGAATCACTAAGATCCATTTGGAATGACTGACACTTACTAGGTTCATAGTAATCCACTACAGTCACTGAAGCATCCTGGATATTTGCCACTTTGAAGTCTCTCACAGCCGGAATATCCACACAAACCTGTGTTTCATTTAGCTAGAAAAACAGAAGAGAAACATCCTGAGAACCCTGGTGCTGGCAGTTTCGTGGAAGAGGTAAGGACTTCTAGCTCAGCGGTAGTCCCCTTCATTTCTAGAGACTTGGAGTCAGAATGCATAAAAAGATGCTTATCTCGTATTCATTTTGGCCAAATTACAGACTTCTTGAAATGTCAGCCTTCTTATATATGATTTTTAAGAAGCTTAATCTAGAAACCCCTTACAAATACAACCGAGTTGTACCTACCCAATCAGTCTCACTAAAAAACAGTGGAACTATTAATTCAATGTGAATAGCAGATGTTGACTTCCCCAAAGAATACAATCATAATGTCTTTCCAAATTTAAACCAAACAATGGCAGAGACAAGATTAACATCACTACAAACACATTTCTTTTTATTTTCAACTTACGGAGTCTAAGTATAGGTTGACTTTTCCACTGTCCTTTTCCATCTTCTTAACTCTATTGTCTAATGGAATGAAATCTGGTGACACAGAGAAACCACTGAGTAAGCCAACCTCCATGAGGATCATACCACTACTGGGAGCTGTGTCAGAACCCAAGTACCTTTTCAAAACACAAAGAAATTTTTAGTGGAAATACAGTAGTCCACTCTCCAAAGAAACTGTTTGATCATTAAATCCCCACTACAGAAGCAATAATGCTTAAAAATACTTAAGAAACAAATAGAACAAAATGCCAACAAGAAAATTTCTAATGATAAAGAGATAACAATTGATTTCTCTATTATTCTGCCTGATAATTTCAACCACATATGCAAAAGCAGGTTTAGCACTGAGAAAACTACAGTACATAAATCATATGAGAGAGTGCACTGACACCACTGGGAGCTTTCCATTGGCATCTATAAGTGCAGGTTTACATCACAAATATGTAGGAAATAGTGCAATTAAACATGTTTCAAAAGAAGTAATTAAGAAACTGCTATAGGACCTCTTGAACTGAAATATACATATTACCTCTTATGAATGCATTATTTTGCTTTTATTCATTTTTGGAGGGTGAGATAAAGGTATTTCATATTTTCTTCATAGAGATTGATGGTTCCATTAACAAAGACATCATCAGATTATTTCTCAAAGCTCCAGTTTTAAAATGCATAGCCATGTTATTCATCCGGTTTTGGAAAAAGAGGCTTTAATAAGTTGAGCTCCTTCTTTTTTCCTAAATAATGCTTATTATTGTATCTTTTTCCAATATGAGAATCAGATGCTGGACTAAAAAGCTTTGCTCTGTTGAGCAAGGCTTACATACTATGGTGCACAACAGAACTATCAAAATATATTTATGGTGTTCTGTGCTACAAGCGGTACTTAAATGACGTGCAAAAGAAAGTATTGCTTTAAATAAAGTAGGTGGCAGAAGAGATTTCACCCCCCTTGGCACAGAGGGTAAATGATTATTCTTATAATAGAATAGAAGTGTCTCCAATCCTCATTTTGAAGGCCTGACAGTAGTTGAAAGTAATTGGATAAAACTATTTCTTTGTAGAGCTGGATGGTTTAAAAAAAGGGAAGACTTGCTTTCAAAGCAATGCTGTTAAGCCTGGCAGCACAGCTGATTGAACGCAGATATGACTTTGAAAGAAATACAGCACAACTGCTGACTTCAGTTGGCTCATGAGATTAGAAACAAATGAAACCATCTGTCGGATGATGTGCTGTGCCAAAGTAGCTGCTATTGAAAACAAATAACTGAATTGGAACTGGATGTAATTATTTCTGCATAATTACCAATAAGAGGGGAGGAAAATACCCAAGCTGTCTAGCCAGCCTGCGATGCTACCAAAATACCAAGAGGTAACCAAACCAGCTTGGTATTGTCAAGAAGTGAGTAAGATATATCCCTATAAGTTACAAGGATCTGGTTCTCTTAACAAAGAAGAGAGACAGCCTTGGGGGTGGCTCCTGGTATCATCTCTTCAACTCCGTGGTCTCCCAAAAAAACAAAAAAAATCACCATGCAAGAAGAATGACCAGTAAGAGAAAGAAAGAAGACTTGACACTTGCACCTGAAGAGAACTGAGAACACTTTGAGTTGAATTTTACATTTCAGCTCTTCAGCAATATGAATCTGTGTGAGACCCTCTCATAGACGATGCAAAGAGGAGAAAACACCACCAAGCTAGTGTATGCAGAAAGCATAAACAAGAGAGCGAGTAGAACCATCACTGATCGGTTTCCCATGCCTGGAAATGGTATGCGGGCAACAAGACCGACCAGAGAAGAAACTGGCAGCCCTGGGTATTTGTCTCCCAGACAATGCGTTAGCTCTTCTAACCAAGAATCAGTTCAATTTGAATGAGACATTATCTGCTCCAGTGTCATAAATTATTCCCAGCTGAGATGACCATGGCCAATCACTATCAAGCTGGTTGAAAGAAGCTGGAATATTCTGCAGATTAGAGAAAGAAAAAAATTGCAGAGCTGCAGCCTCCATTTCCTGACTGTGCATACCCACAGCTAGCTAAACTGGTTGAGATTTCAGCAGTCTTTCTGTATCTGCCTACTTTGGTTTCTCTAGCAGAAAGCCACATCATGCTGTAAAGATTATAACTAGACCAACTTTAAACTAATTCAGGAATTTAATATAGATAATGTATATATTATATACAATATATAGGGGAAAAAAGAAGAGGATGACTAGTCTATCAAGCCAAGCAACCAGAGACCAAGTCTCAGCCTAAAGAATAGGAACACAGAGTTACTAGAACTTATACCAGTCCACTTTCCATCATAAGAGTTGATGGATCTTAATGTTCCAAACATTCTCCTGGGGCAGTTTTATAACTGCCATTAGATTTTCCCCTACCCTTTGAACACTTTGCAATTAAAACATCATCACCCTAGAGCCTTCCCAGAGAGATGGAGCCCTTCCTGTCTGTATTCCTGAGCCAAAGGTCTTTGCTAGAAAATCAGAATGCTCAGCCAAGACTTATCCCAGACCCATCATGTAAGCGCTTTACATGTCAGGAGTTTGTGCTAGACTTTAGAAAGCTGTTGACACTTCATAGAAAACTTTAAAAGAGAAAAACCCATTCTATTTCAAGAGCTCTCATGTATTCTAGTGTCCCTGCCCACCATCTGTATCACTGAACTGGTTACCAGAAACACATAAAAACAGGGCTCTGGCTTTGTGCCTGCTGGCTATTTCCCAAATTAAATCAATCCTCTCTGTACTGAAGTCATATTCACTATAGCTGATTATTTGTATGATGGTGTCACCTAGAGGCTCCATCTCCAGTCACAGCTCCCGTGTGATAGGTAGAGCATAAAAACAGTTCTAGGCATATGGTGTTTAAAGTTTAAATAAAATAACAAAAAGACGATGTGGAGGAAAGGAATGCAAGAGTAATCATGGTGGATCAGGTAGTACTTTGCAAATCTTGCATTTACAAGGAACCCATTATAATGTCACAAGAAGAAAAAGTGGTTTTAGAGGAAGTATTCACAAACAGATGAAATCCTAAAATACAAAGAATGTATCATCGCAACATCCTTGTAGATAATAAAAGAGAGAAGATAAAAAACATAAATATAGAGAGATACAATGTCCTCTAGGGTTTTCTGTGAACTATACGGTGCTCTTTAACTACAATAAGAAGTGCATACTGAAGAAACTGCCAGAGAACAAACATCTTCATATATTTCTCTTAAATACATGTATAAACACTTTCACAGCAAGTAAAAATGAGACAGCAAAGCAGTCAAAGAAACAACTTGGTTTCATGACTGGCTGACCTAGGAATATGCAATGTGACTGCTCAATGTCACCTGTTCTCATCTGATCCAAATTCTATCCAGCTAACATTTGGTGGCTGTTCTGTGGTCTCTGAGATGATGCTTCAGCAGTCTCAGCTCAATTCTTAGTAGGTGTTTACTGAACAAGAAACATCATCCCAGATGCATCCCCACCTCCCTTATTGAGCAGAAATAATAGAATTAGACTGGCCAGAAAACTCACCACCTCTTTCAACTCTAGAATGATGCTTACATTATATTATATTACCAAATTCATAACTATAAGACATATTGGTAAATGAAAGACCACAAAGATACTTGCACAATAAGACAAGCTGAATTTATCATTATGTAAACATGGATTTTGACTCCTGCCAAAATTGTTCCGAGCAAAGTTTATTAACAGAGATGACCAAACAATGATCACTTCTATTTCATGGTGTTTTCAGCACTTCAGAACTTACTTCTCTTTTTACAAAAAAAAGAAGTGTCTACGTCTAGATCAAAAGCAAAGCATTCTGTTCATGAAAGGTAAGAGTAATGGGCAGTTGTCACGGTCTGTTACTAGAAGTCAGAATGTGGAAGACATTGGTTCAATTTTCAAGTCTGTCCACAGTTCTCCATATAGCTAAGAAGCACTTGCACCAAAGAAGCCTTTCAGCTTTTTCTTGTATTTCATAGAAACTCTTCCATATACCTCTAACATTTAGGGTACCACTATCTTTATGCATACCAGTAAAAAAATACGACCTGGCCACCAACAATTTTGCACAAAAGATCTATCACACTATTTATTGACTTGATTCTTAGTTTAACTACTGCCGTTTTTACAAAGTAATTCTTTTATTCTCTTTAGTTATACATTTATATCCCATACATTACTAAATCCATACAAACAAATGGATAATTTAGCTCATTTTAAATAATTTAAAAGCTGCATAGACAAAGAGGTATATGAGATGCTCCAATTGAATTACCTACCTTGTGCACACATTCAAGGTCAAATGGTTTTTATCGTCTTTGTCATCCTTTACATCAACATTCAAGTCAAAGGCTTCTTGTTTTCGGACAGATCTGAGCCTCTGATCAGTGTGTTTTGTGTTGTAAATAACATTGAGCTGTGGATTGCAAGTAGAGACATTAGATGACACATGTAAAGCAAATCTGTGTGGTTAAAACACTACGTTTGTAACAGCATAACAGCAGAGGAGTGCCCACATGAGACAGGATACATGGCCTTGTATCTGACAGTCGCACACATGAGATTCATAGGAATTCTCTGAAATAAATACCCTTTCTGAACACTTTTGTAACGCAGCAGAACCAATGCAATTAGCAGGACACAGTTGAGGCAAACACAAGGGAGCTCTGGGACAACCAGTAATTTTCTCCCTAGTTGCTGTCTGCTGGTTTATAATGTGTGCAGCTACTTCCTGACAGGGTGAAATGGGATGAATAAAGGCAAACTTCAGAGACTGACACCCACTGGGTTAAAAGAGACAGGCTGTATATGAAAGCAGAGCAAGAGCAAATACATAGCGTATGTACAGAATTTGTCTTCAGTCTTCATGTCACAGCATTCATACACTCAAAACAGATGAAGAATAGCATGTTACTCCAAGCTCAAAACAACACAGTTTTCTTGCAGTTAAGTAAGTAGTTTCATCATCTGGTTCATCTGTGTAAAGACAAAGCTTCAGTCTGCCTCAAGGACAGAGCTCTCGCCCTTTCTACTCAACAACTGCCAAGCTCTGCTAAGTGAGCCAAGTAAGGAAGTATGACAGGATGTCCAATGGAGGACAGTAACATTAATACAAAATAAGCTCATCTGTTAGGCACTGTTTGAAGGGTTTCCAATTCTTCTAGTGTAGATGCGTATAAGATGCTTGAAACAGTGGTAGAAGAGTGGTAAAACCAGAAGCCCTTAGAAGAGGTCTGAATAATTAGGAGATAGCCTGATTATCTCAATATCCTATAAAATCACCAATGCCAAGAGCCAAAGCAGAAATGCTGGAGCTGGACCCAATAAGTACTCTCACATTATCAGCCATGACAGAAAATTATGCAGTAAAAATTCTGTACTGCCTAAAGAATTGAACTTGATGAGGTAAAGAAACAGCTGAATCATTACCTGCAGTGCTTCTTTAAAACTGCCTTGGTACCAGACCAGAGGATGACAAATGTGACAGCAATTTTTAAGAGAGTACTGTGGATATCAAGTAAACTCGGTATCTGTACCAGAAAACACGCTCGAAAATATAATAAAGAGTCAAATTAGTGGGCAAATGAGTAAATATGATGTGTTGGATAATAGGCTGTTGCTATAAACCCACCAGCTACCTGAATCAAATGAAAAAACATGGACAATGGAGCTCTGTCTAGTATAAGCCACCTGGATGTTACATCGGCATGTAGCTGGTTAGGAAGATTACTAGCCAAAGGTACTGGAACAAAAGAAGCTGCCAAGAGATAAAGGGCTGTTAAAAGACAGGAACAGAAGGTAGGAATGAATGTTCGTACATGAAAGGAGTGGAGTCCTAAAGAAATCTGTGCTGGGTGACCACCGTTAAACATACCCATACATGATGTAGAAAACAGGATGAATCCTGATGTGATAAAGTTTGCTGATTATACTGATTTATTTGAGGTAGCAAAGACTAGGATTACTGCAAGGAGTTGCAGAATGAAAGAATTTTTATGTACATAATAATGGGTTTTGAACTGATTACTACCAGATCTGTTTACTATTTAAAAAATGGTAAAATAGATGAAAATTCAGCCATGAACAGGTAAACTGGAAGGATACAGTAAAGGTCTACAGAATAATGATCTGCATGGGAAAGATGAATAGGAAACAGTTTTTCATGCAATCCAAGATTAAACTGTGGAATTCCTTCCCACAAGATGCTGCAGATACTAAACTGTACAAGCATTCAAGGGCAAAATACATAACTTCATGGAATCAAAATTTTCTAAGCCCACAGTCAGCTGAAGGTCTTGAATAATATACATGGTAAGAGGTGGAAGACAGTCAGGTAATATATTACATGTATTTATCTTCTTATACTCTCTCCTGAGCATCCACCTCTGGCTGCTGTGAAGAACAGAACACTGGGCTCGACTGAGCTTTGCTCTGACCCAACACAGTCCCTCTTATGCCTTCTCTCCAAGTATAAGAACTAGGGGAGCAGCTTCAAGAGGAGAAAGAGGTAGTGCTTCTTCACGCAATACACCATTAGCTGCAGAACTACTTGCCGCAAGAAGCTGTGGTTGTTAAAAGCTTAGAAATATATAAAATGTTTATGGAAGAAAGAAAAAAAATCTATCAAGAAAATATCCACCGAGCCAGAGAGAACACACAGAGATGACCTGTGGATTGGGAAGGCCCTGTGTTGCAAAATGGTGAAGGGTAAGAGGGTATACCAGTGAGATATCACTTCATGCTTACCCTGTTCTAGTAGCCTTCTTTGGTCATCCTCTCTCTATTGGACACTATGGGACACAGGATAATGAACTGTATCAGTTGTCCCAGCACATCTGCTCTAGCATACTCATGTACTTATACCCAACAAAAGACACCAAAAATGAAATTTAACTTTGAGAAAACATTCTAAGGTGTTTCGGACTGATTAACAACCGATGCGATGTTGATCTGCAGCATCCCTTTGCTGTGGCACAAACGGGACACCACCTCTGACAGAGGACAAGAGAATGGGTTGCTGACTCAGCACTTCGTGTGATGAATCAGAAAGCTCAACTTTCAAAACCTTAGAATGAAAAAATCAAACACAAGAAACTAAGAAAATATTTACTATCAAAGAATAGTTGACATTATTTGGCAAAAGAGTGATTTTCACCAACAACAGAACAGTAAGTTTGCATAGTTTTCACATACAAACTAATATCATTATCTGTTCCCTTAGTCATCAAGATAAAACACATGGCAGGGCAGGGGGTGATCATCTTCTTTGATTTTGATAGAAAAATAATCAGAAAGTGGCTCAAATAACTGCCCTTGCAAGACCCCAACATGCACTTTGCTTGGCTAAGGAAAAGGGAATGAAGAGTGCTTCTGGAAAATCATAGTCCCTTCACCACAGATTCTAGCAGCAAATGGAAAACTGTCCGTCCAAATTTAAAGGTATGACAGCGGCTTGTCCAAGTTATAGGTTAGCAAGTCAGTTATAGGCTAGCAAGACTGTGCAAACAGAGGAGTCTCTAATTTCTGATTTTTTATTTTGCTGCTACGTCTCTCACTCCTTGATATAAAAGTTATGCTCTTTCTTTTAATCTACACACACACGAATCCTGTTGCCCTGCCCTGCATTGCTGAACTTAGCATGCTGTATGAGTACAGAGCCAATTCTGTACAGACGCTCAGGACAACTGTGGTGCGGCAGTGAAGATTTATCCTGTACAACTGCTCTGCAGGAGAAGGCAGTACCAAGGATGAAGCCAATCTAGAAAGCCTGCCAGTTAAAGGCATGCAGAAAGTTTGGTAAAGACAAGCTGGCGGTGCCTCAACAATCTGTCATCACAGAAACAAAGCTGTTTTAACTTTTGCCAGAAAAAGCTAATGAATGGGAATTTACTGCCAATGCAGGACGTCTGAAACCACATACTGAACAGGTCAATAAGCTAGTATTTTCATGGAATAAGTTATCGCTGTTACGGTCTGACTTTCCTTTCCTGATTTCTCATGACAATGAAGGAAAAATCTTTTTCACAACACAGAGTTTAATTAAAGCCTCCTTCTTTATACACTCTTATCTTGGGGACAGAAGGCTATTATACAGAAACTAGCATTAAATCAACAAAACGAGCAACTGCATTTCTTCTTAACCCTTTTAAGAAGCAGCTGCCAAAGCTAAAGGCAGAACTGGTCCAGTCTTGTCATACTGCAAACCAGTTCTGGTGAGAGGCCCAAGCAGAGAAAACTCATCTTCTGCATGAGAGAGATGCTTGTAACAGTATCTGATCCAATCTACTGCACTACGTTTCAAAAAAACCATGACTCATAATGCCCTAATCAGTGTCTCTTTCCC